CAGACCCTGAACCAGAGCATGCACAGACCCTGAACCAGAGCATGCACAGACACTGAACCAGAGCATGCACAGACCCTGAACCAGAGCATGCACAGACCCTGAACCAGAGCCTGCACAGACCCTGAACCAGAGCATGCACAGACACTGAACCAGAGCATGCACAGACCCTGAACCAGAGCATGCACAGACCCTGAACCAGAGCATGCACAGACCCTGAACCAGACACGCACAGACCCTGAACCAGAGCATGCACAGACCCTGAACCAGAGCCTGCACAGACCCTGAACCAGAGCATGCACAGACCCTGAACCAGAGCATGCACAGACCCTGAACCAGAGCATGCACAGACCCTGAACCAGAGCATGCGCAGACACTGAACCAGAGCATGCACAGACCCTGAACCAGAGCATGCACAGACACTGAACCAGAGCATGCACAGACCCTGAACCAGAGCATGCACAGACCCTGAACCAGAGCCTGCACAGACCCTGAACCAGAGCATGCACAGACACTGAACCAGAGCATGCACAGACCCTGAACCAGAGCATGCACAGACCCTGAACCAGAGCCTGCACAGACCCTGAACCAGAGCATGCACAGACACTGAACCAGAGCATGCACAGACCCTGAGCCAGAGCATGCACAGACCCTGAACCAGAGCCTGCACAGACCCTGAACCAGAGCATGCACAGACCCTGAACCAGAGCATGCGCAGACACTGAACCAGAGCATGCACAGACCCAGAACCAGAGCATGCACAGACCCTGAACCAGAGCATGCACAGACACTGAACCAGAGCATGCACAGACCCTGGACCAGAGCATGCACAGACCCTGAACCAGAGCATGCGCAGACACTGAACCAGAGCATGCACAGACCCTGCACCAGACACGCACAGACCCTGAACCAGAGCATGCACAGACACTGAACCAGACACGCACAGACCCTGAACAAGAGCATGCACAGACCCTGAACCAGAGCCTGCACAGACCCTGAACCAGAGCATGCACAGACCCTGAACCAGAGCATGCGCAGACACTGAACCAGAGCATGCACAGACCCTGAACCAGAGCATGCACAGACACTGAACCAGAGCATGCACAGACCCTGAACCAGAGCATGCACAGACACTGAACCAGAGCATGCACAGACCCTGAACCAGAGCATGCACAGACCCTGAACCAGAGCATGCACAGACCCTGAACCAGAGCATGCACAGACACTGAACCAGAGCATGCACAGACACTGAACCAGAGCATGCACAGACCCTGAACCAGAGCCTGCACAGACCCTGAACCAGAGCATGCACAGACACTGAACCAGAGCATGCACAGACTCTGAACCAGAGCATGCACAGACCCTGAACCAGAGCATGCGCAGACACTGAACCAGAGCATGCACAGACCCTCAACCAGACACGCACAGACCCTGAACCAGAGCATGCACAGACACTGAACCAGACACGCACAGACCCTGAACCAGAGCATGCACAGACCCTGAACCAGAGCCTGCACAGACCCTGAACCAGAGCATGCACAGACCCTGAACCAGAGCATGCGCAGACACTGAACCAGAGCATGCACAGACCCTGAACCAGAGCATGCACAGACACTGAACCAGAGCATGCACAGACCCTGAACCAGAGCATGCACAGACCCTGAACCAGAGCCTGCACAGACCCTGAACCAGAGCATGCACAGACACTGAACCTGAGCATGCACAGACCCTGAACCAGAGCATGCACAGGCCCTGAACCAGAGCCTGCACAGACCCTGAACCAGAGCATGCACAGACACTGAACCAGAGCATGCACAGACCCTGAACCAGAGCATGCACAGACCCTGAACCAGAGCCTGCACAGACCCTGAACCAGAGCATGCACAGACACTGAACCAGAGCATGCACAGACCCTGAACCAGAGCATGCACAGACCCTGAACCAGAGCATGCGCAGACACTGAACCAGAGCATGCACAGACCCTGAGCCAGAGCATGCACAGACCCTGAACCAGAGCATGCACAGACACTGAACCAGAGCATGCACATACCCTGGACCAGAGCATGCACAGACCCTGAACCAGAGCATGCGCAGACACTGAACCAGAGCATGCACAGACCCTGAACCAGAGCATGCACAGACCCTGAACCAGAGCATGCACAGACACTGAACCAGAGCATGCGCAGACACTGAAACAGAGCATGCACAGACCCTGAACCAGAGCATGCACAGACCCTGGACCAGAGCATGCACAGACCCTGAACCAGAGCATGCGCAGACCCTGAACCAGAGCATGCACAGACCCTGAACCAGAGCATGCACAGACCCTGAACCAGAGCATGCACACACACACTGAACCAGAGCATGCACACACACGGAACCAGAGCATGCGCAGACACTGAAACAGAGCATGCACAGACCCTGAACCAGAGCATGCACAGACCCTGAACCACAGCATGCACAGAAAAATGAATGATGCTCTTAGAGGTAGAAGTAATACTACGCCAGTCTCGTACTCTACAAGTACATATATAACAATGCTAGAGACTACCGAGCCGGAAGACACTCATTTAACAATAATACAAGTGCATAAATAACAGGGTCATCCGGTCTTATTGATAATGTTTCAGTTTAGTTCCACAGCAGGCAGCCATAGTGGTATGGTCTAAGACCATGATTGAGAGACTGACAGTACTAGGTTCAAATCCTGCTTGGAAGGGGTAGGATTTTTTACAGCTGTGCTGCAACCCACAGTTAGTTGGAAAATCAGTTGCGCATCGGAGCTTCAAGCTTCGATATAACAGCGTATTGCCTATGACGTCATAAATATCCAACCGGAACTTCACGGCATGAAAAAATAAAATCACCCAACCACATCACTACAGTTGCCTTTTTTATTTCCGCTCGACACGACGTGATTTAGAAAATCTGAGCTCTTCTTCTCGCGATTAGAGATGGATGAAAACTCAATCCGGCAAGCTGTTTCATCAGCCGTTGTGGATCTCCTTGCTCCGATCAATGATCGTCTACGTGCTTTGGAAGCGACAGCAGAATGTAGAAGGGATCTGGCCAGGGGCCAGTCCTCGCAGTCCAATGGATCGGAGCCAAAACTTTCCAGGTTGAGTGCAGGCACTCAACCCCGGGAAATCGCCAGTTCCTTGGGCATGCCCAAGTCTGGTTTGTCAGGTGGAAGTTTGTTGCTTCCACCTAGCTCCTCGAGTGGGCATGCCTGCTCGAGTGATGCTGATTTGAACGACGCCACGAGTGGGCAGGTACCCTCGTGTGTGGACGTGAGCACGGACGACCCGGAGCATGCTCCGGTGTCCTCAGATATAAAACAGTTCCTTCAGACTCGCTTCAGGGAGCCCTTGAAGGGCAAGGAGCGCAGGGACCTAGTAGAGCAGTTTTCCCGACCAGAGGTGGACGTGGCGGTCACACCTAAGCTAGACCATGAGGTGCTGAATTTACCTGGTGTAAGGCAGTCATTCAAGAGGTCGCGAGACAACATGTTGTACTCGCTACAGAGCAGCGTATTGGATTGTTTGGGTCCTCTCTCTGCCCTGATGATGGAGGCCAAGGCAGCGCAGGACGCTGGTGCAGGCCTGGACCCGCAAGCTGTATTGGACATGGTGCCGGCTGGTTTGTCTCTGCTTGGCAATGCCAACAGTAAGCTCTCTGTGCTGAGGCGCCAGGAGTTCCTAGAGCATCTTGATAAGAGCCTGGTACCCATGGCGGAGGAGCCATTTGATAAAGCGGGCACGGCCCTGTTCGGCCCGGAACTATTGGAGCGCATCCAGTCCAAGGCAGAGTCCCAGGAGGCCCTGGGCTTGGTTGTGAAACAATACAAGGACGCTCGAGCTCCTCCGCAGTCGAGCGACAGCAAGTCTGGCGCTGGAGGGGCGTCAGCGGGTGAACGCCAGTTTTTCCGCGGTACTGGGGTCAGTAGGTACGGCGGTGGCTCCCGGTACGAGCCTTACACCAGCCCGTACAACCAGACTCAATATAGCCGAGCCGGTTGTGGCTATGCTAACCGAAGCCGGATGCTTCTCCCACCAGAGCAACAGGACGGTCAAGGACCGGGCACCAGCTACGCAGCATAACGTTAGCGGCGGTGTGGATGTTAGTGCCAGAGGAGGTCTGGACTGGCGGATGCTGTTCATTGTATTGGCTCAAGACTGGGCTTTGCCTCTCTAGCAGGTGTGTTTCGCGCCTTTTCCAGTACCGGAGCTCTGCTCGGTACAGCATGTGTGTTGGCGTAGGTTTCACGCTCCGCATCGTGGCGTAAGGCGGACAGCACGTAGCCGTCCCTCTTAGGGTCATTCCGGGGGGGGGCCTGGCATCAGCGGCAGCAGCCACTTACGGTGCAGCCGTTCTCAGCTCCGGGGTTTAGGCTATAGCCTGACCTACTGCTATCAGGACACTTAGGTGCCTGTCCCGTGACTCGAATGTTACCCGTGCATGGGAAGGAATGTGTTTATCCCACGTGTGTTTATGTGTCGGGTGCGCTTTGAAGTATACACTGTTATATCGAAGCTTGAAGCTCCGATGCGCAATTTCCCATTTCGCTAGCAATGGTACATTGTGACGGGAAGTGGGAGTTGTGCTAGGAGCTGAGAGCGAGATATAACAGTGTCCCACCCGCCCTCCCATTATGGGTTGGTGGATATTTTGGGAATGATTCATTTTTTTCCTGTCACATATCCGTAGTCTCGCTTCACTAAAAAAAGGCAACTGTGGTGATGTGGTTGCGTGATTTTATTTTTTCATGCTGTGAAGTTCCGGTTGGATATTTATGACGTTATAGGCAATACACTGTTATATCTGGCTCTCAGCTCCTAGCACAACTCCCACTTCCCGTCACAATGTACCATTGCTAGCGAAATGGGAAATTGGAAATCACTTTACCTCTACTACAAGCACCGTCGTCTGCCTGTATGTAACAATCTTTTCGATCTCTTCACTTCTCTTTTTGTGTCTGTTTTGTTTTGTTTTCCCACGTACAGGGGCATGTGAACTTCGGATTTTCATGCCAATATGATCTGCTGATATTGCAGTATGATTAAAACAGCCAGAAAATCCAAGTGAGGTGTCAGTTCTCCTTTCTTCCAAATAACGATGCTACATCCCGGCCTCCGCTGACTTGCTCATGATCTTCATGTGGAAATGGTGAATCTGGTGTGTGCCGTTCACCCGTAATCGTGACTCTCTCTCTCTCTCTCTCTCTCTCTCTCTCTCTCTCTCTCTCTCTCTCTCCCCCCCCCTCTTTCTCTCCATTTTCCCTCTCTCTTTGTCTCTCTGTCTCTCTGTCTCTCCCCCTCACTCTCAACGCTCCGGCATAGGATACGATGTGCCTTTCCTCCTTTGTCAATTTTGCTCTTTCATTATTTTTGTTCCATCAGAAGTTCATCAGGCACAGGTGGATAAGTCTACGTTAGTACGTGGTTTGTGCCATCAACTATTGCAAAGATGTTCTTCTGCCCCCCCCCCCCCTCCCCGCCTGCATCATCATCAATTTTGCTCTTTCATTATTTTTGTTCCATGCATTGAACTATACTTGCATGCTGAGAATTCATCAGGCACAGGTGGATAAGTCTATGTTAGTACTACGTGATCTGTGCCATCAACTATTGCAAAGATGTTTTTCTGTCTCTCCCCCCCCCCCCCCCCCCCCGCCGCCCCGCCCGCATTGCAATATCATGTATACTCAGTATCACGTATTCCCCCAGTCTCTAGCCGCACTGATGCAGAAGCTTTTTTTCTTCTATTTTTTTTTACAAGAGCCACATTATCCACATGTCCTTTACGTCTCTGTTGCTCCTGACTGGCTATCGACATCCTTTGTCTTCACGGAGTTGCTGCTGCTGCTCTTGCTTTTGCTATTCTTTCGTTTCCCTTCTAACCCCTACTTATCTTTATCGCCGTGCACGGTTGACTATCAGCCTATTACCCGCTCTCTTCACATTGGTTGGTGTTTCCACTGCGTGGTCACACGGCATTATAATATGCATGGTCTTTGCCCATCAAAATGTATGTGATTCGGAGTTACGGACTTTCCAAAGTTAGTTGCGGGCAGTGGCTGGTCCCGGATCGCCCGGATAAACGAGGCACATTGTACGAGTGTACTGCAATCATGGACGTCTGTACAGGTCATGTGCTTGAGGGGTGGGCCGGGGGGGGGGGGGAGGGGGGGGGGGGGGTGACGATTCCTACCCAGCGTTTGGATGCAAGAGTCACGCTGCATTTCGTACAGTAGATCTACATTGTACATGATCGTACCTACTCTGAAAAAGTTAATATCATTATGCAAAACTGCCGAGCTGTGCGGGCAAGCAAGTGTATGCATGCCATTGGCAGGTACATCTACTAATAATGCTAGTTTTATTCAAAGCCCCTCATTTTAAGAATAGCAAGAAGGTACAAGAGAAGAGCTAGAGAGAAAAGGGAAACCAAGGAGAAGTCCAGGTAGAAAAGGCAAAGTAAAGATTTAGAACATTGAAAGGATCGGTCACGCAATACGGTAGCAGGTAGATCTACTAGTACCGGTAGTAGTAGTTGCTTTGACTCCGTCTTCATGGTTTCACGCGTGTGACCCAATTGGTGTTGTGAATAAAACCGTTCTCAAGTAGTAGCTGGTTGCGGATTCTACTAGCTATGACATGTTTAATGGAAGAGCAAGTGTTCTGGCAAAAATACACTGTGATCCGGATCTGGTTTGAGATTGGGTGCCAGCTCCCAAATGGCCAGTATTGATAATGCTTTCCAGTTTGTATAGAAACTAAAACTTCTTCCCTACATCATGTACATGAAGATTGCACTTGAAACTGACACGCTCAAATCAAAGTTTTTGAGTGTGTTGTAGCATGTGCGTGCAAGGTGTGCGAGGGGTACTGTGAACGAATTCAATGTCACATTGTGAAGCAGGGCAAGTAGAGCTACATGTACATGTAGCTACTAAACGGCGTTTTATTGAACGCACAAAGCAATGATGATAAATGCATGCAAGAAGACAATGAGAGCAAAGAATTCAAGAATTGAACAAAAGTTAAACAGCAAAATTGACGGATATGAATGTGAATGGCAACAGGAAAAGGGGAAAGAAAAGAAGAAGAAAAAACTCCAAACCTTTGGTAACATTTTCACCACAATACGAGATGATAAAAAGAAAAGAAAAAACTATGCCCTCTACTCTAGAACACACGGTACAGCAGTAGTAGTGTACTACTAGTGACTCCATGCACTGATGAACCCACACTGCTCACACACTGCTCACACACTGCTCACACACCTCACACACTGCTCACGCCGATTTTCGGTCGACGTGCCTTTCTACAAAGTACAATATTAAATAAAAATTATCAAATTTCGAAGTACAGTCACGCTTGATGTTTTTTCGGCCTATGCCCGGGCTATGGCTAGCTACTACTAGTAAATAATAATAATAATAATAATAATTCTCGTCTACGTTCCAAAGGGAACTCACGACAATGGAGTGACAAAAAGCACCGCGGCAGAGAGAGAAAAGAGAAGATATGATATTTGACGAAAACAATCACGGTGTAGATTTCACATGAGTTCCAATACACCACATCAGCAAAGCTCTTTCTTAGAAAAAAAATAAAAAAATAAGATAAATGAAAATGAAATCATTGGTCATCAGTTAGTCATGTGCGTCCACACCAAAATCACAGCCGGTCATGTGTGTTCACACCACCGCAGAACAAAATTTAATGTTACTCCACTTCTGCCGGTCAACTGCACAACTTCTTAGGGTTTCGAGGTGCCGGCTCGTCTTCAATGCGACGGCGGTGAACTTGACGTCTTGCTGGAGGGTGGTGACTAAACAGGACCTTGGAGCTCCCCTCCTAGATCCTGTGCCTCACAGCGTCCTCCATTGATGCGTATGCAATCATTGCTTGATTGCCTGGTGTCGATGATGGCTGGCGTAGGATGTAAGCACTACTAGTACTACTAGTAGTAGTACTAGTAGTAGCTAGCTAGCTATGCATGGCGTGGCTTGTTACTTGAACTAAAATACTTGCCAGAGATAGGCCATCATAGGCTATTAATAATAGCCTATAGTATTATAGCCATAGGGTCGTGGGATGGGCTCAGTGACTAGTCATTATTAATTTTGTACTGTTTTAGTACAGTACTGAGGACGTCTTTCTTTAGCTTTGTTCTCACAAGCATCACGGGAGCAGGGAAATGGACCGGGAAATCCCCGGAACGGTATGCAAGAGTTGTGGTCTCTTGGCGCCTGGCAGACTTGGAAGTAGATCTACGAATCGACGTGCCAGAGCGCCCAGAAGTGGCTAGGTTTTACATGACTTACTGACGTGGTGCGATGCCAACAAGACGATACACCAGTGCATGTGGCCCGCAGTATCAGATCAAACTGACAAGACATCTCTGGCAAGGGCTGATTCCGCGATGACTTTCCTGCGCTCACTAACATTTCACTTTCAGTCTTTGTCAGTTTGTGACCTACGGCTCTTGTCTTGTGGCACCTGTCCACAGGGGAAAGGCACAGCAGGCGCTACAAGTACAAGGGATCGAACATGTAACTGGTTCAGCATCACGTGCATTGAAAACACTGCCTCGGAGACAGCCTCTCTAGCGGGACTGTACGGTCGCAGCGAGTACAATCATGTTACAGACTGTAGTGTAGATGTTTTTTTGGTACATGCAGACTGCATGTAGATCTACTGTAGATCTACATGTACCTCTCTTGCGCTTGAGTCTTCGGCTCGTATGCGAAGTCTTGCCATCGTGATTATGACGGGGGACAGATTTACAAAGGGCCGTTTCACACGAGGTACAAAATCGCGTACATGTCACGTTTCCGGTTATGTTCCCTAGGAGATGGAGCACTTTTGGCGCGAAATGTGAAACGCATCGTATACGTTTTCAGCAAGACCAGGAGGGGTGTAGAAAGCAGGATATACCCAGCGTTCTACTGACAAACTTCGTTTTCCTTGCATTGTGATCTGTCGTCGTGTTTGCTTTTTTTGCTTCTGTTTGCTTTCATTGCTGGTTGCTGGTTGTGCCTTCCGTTTCGGACAATGCCTCGCCAAATATTCTCTGATGACCTGGAGGCTAGACTTATTGAGTTGTGGGCCGACTATCAAAAGTGAAAAAGTGGCCAGATGGTGAAGCGTATTGTGAGGGAAAGGGAGATCGCCGAGAAACTCAATGCTGCGTTCCGCTCAGGATGGTTGAATCCAGAGAAAAACTTGAAATTACACTTTGAACAAGCGAGGGCAATGCAGCCCTTCTACGCCTCGCCATCCTTTGCAACCTCTCTCGTCCGTCCATCTTTCTCTCCTTGTGGCGATCAAAGAAAACGAGAATCAGGGAGAGAACATCTCCTTGCCAAACTAATAATAATTATTATTATTTTGTGTTCAAAACTCCCGCGTTCGCGTGCGGATTCCGTATTTTACGACTTCTGTGCGAGGCAGGTCAAAGCTGCCATGGCAACTGCTGCTTGAATAGCATGTTGCGACACTCGCTGTGTACTGTGCCTAGAACGCCCATTCGTGAAAAGCCATGTATACCTCGTGTGAAACGGCCCTTACCGTCCCTCTCATATTCAGACAGAACACGACTCGGGCTGCATCCGGAAACACATTCCTTGCTGTAGTGTAGACGTTGCCCGACCTTGTCCTTTGTGATCGATTTGCGCACGGCTCTCTTCCGCCGCGTTTGATGTACGCGATAACGGCCGTCGTGACACGGAGCAAGGCCGTCCACTAGCGTCCTTTTCACTAGCGTCCAGTGTTCTTTCTCCAAGCGCCACTTACGCGTCCGTCTTCCACGAGGTGAGTTTCTTTTCGCCCCTCCTTCAACTCTTGTAGTCGGCAAATATGTTTGGACTATGTTGCATAAGTGCCGCACTGCCCTTGCTTACCGTGACACACGTTTGTGCTACCCCTATTCCTCTGTTTGCGGCGCTACCTTCTTTGTCCTGAACATTCTCCCAAATCTCAGACTGTCTTGTTTGGGCGGCAAGGTCGCTCGTACAACAACAGCATTGATCTTATCTTCGGACCTTGTTCAGGCTCTCGAACTCAAGTTTGGCTATGCTTGTGTGCTCACAGAACTGGACAGGACGATTCAACACACAAGGCCACAAAATGTGATGAGATGAGGGTTCCGGTGCTCGTGGATTTTATAAAATTTGAATGCAAATGAGAGAGTCCTCCGCGAATCCGGCTCAGTAGAGTGCTCTTTGCAATTTATTTCGCCGCTGAATCCGCGGATCAAACAGGCATTGCGTTAACCGGGCTGCTGGAATTCTAGCACGTCGTTACGTGAATCGTATCGACCGACAGAGAGAACACCGTCACGGACAGCTACGAAGCCGGGCAGCCGCGTTCCACTACAGTGAACAGCGAGCACAGCTTTGCGGCGTCTCTTCCGTGTTTCTTTCCGGAGGAATTCGGTGAGTGTGTTTGTAATTTACGTATCTTGACTAGTTTGAGGGAAAGACACAAACGGGAAAATTCTGAAGAAAAAATTGACTGTCACCACCAGGACTAGAACCAGGGACCCTCGCTTGTAGCTAGCGATGCTCTAACCACTGACCTATGGTGTACATGTAGTCGTCATCCCAGCAGAATTTACGTACGTAATTACATACCAGGGGCTTCGGAAGCAGTTTAACCCTTTGCCGGTCTAACTCAATGTATGTGAGGGGTGGTCACGCAAATACATGTACACACAACCAGCAATAACTCAAGAACCATGTGTTGTAGGTATGGGTAAACCATATATTTTCAAAATCTGTGTGCCTGAACGCGTCCAGAAAATTCAAATATGACTAGGTGGAGGCAAGGATAGGGCCCATGGTAGCCCTTCAAGTTGAGAGACAATACAATTGCGGATGAAATACACGAATATCACAGCACGAAGGGCATACCAAGTTCGTGATGGAGCTGAAGTCGTACGATAAACAATCAGGTAAGGGCTACGTCTTTACAAGAAATGTAGGCTCTCTACAATACCGCCATTGAACACCAACACCTCGCCATCGGCGATA